TCTAATGATTTGCCCCAGAGGAAGCATGTAAATGCTAAATAATATGGGCCCCAAAACAGAACCTTGAGGGACACCATATTGGACCTGACCAATTTCTGATTTGTTATTTCCCAGAACAACAAACTGTGATCTATTTGTAAGGTAGGATCTGAACCATTCAAGCACAGTGCCAGAGATACCAAGCCAACTCTTTAGTCTATCAAGTAATATAGAGTGACATACTGTCAAATGCTGCACTCAGGTCTAACAAAACCAAAATGGTAGAGGCACCAGAGTCAGCTGAGACCAGGAGGTCGTTCATAACGCGAACCAAGGCGGTCTCAGTACTGTGCCCTGTCCTAAACCCAGATTGGAAAGGCTCTAAAAGGTTGTTTAAGGACAAATGAGAATGTAATTGTGCCAAAACAACACGTTCCAGGACTTTAGCCAGGAAAGGAAGATTTGAAATGGGCCTATAATTTGTTAGATCAGAGGTATCACATGACAACAAGTTAAATTATCCACATGAATATTAATGTCACCAACCAGAATCATATCTGAACAAACAGGACTAACCAATGCAAGGAGTTCAGTAAATTCCTCAATAAACAGAGGATTTGATTTAGGTGGACGATAAATAAACAGAATAAGAACAGGGGAGGCACAATTCACTCTGAAAGCAATACACTCAAATGATGTTACACTAGGAGTGGCAATTTCAGTTACAGATACATCCGATCTGAAAATAACAGCAAGGCCACCTCCTTTCCCAGTTAGCCGTGGTCTATCGGTGTACATATAATCAGATGGAGTAATCAAATTAAGATTTAGAAAGTCATTTTGCTGATGCCAAGTTTCACAAATACAGAAGAAATCAAGTTTTTTGTCCAAGATGATGTCGTGAAGTAGTGCAGTCTTATTGTTCAATGAACGAACATTAAAGTATATACGTAGTTAGGTTTCACAAAATAAAACAGAGCAAATAAAGTGTAATGATATTAATAAAAACAGTATTCTTCCACCAAACAATGTAGCTCCTCAGAATCAGCTGTGGTTGCAACAAAGTGGTTGCCGAGCAACACAAACGTAAACAAAGGTGTGTTACTTTGTAGAGTAATTTACAACAGCTTCGAACGCGGCTCAGCCAATCAGAATCAAGCACCGGAACTATCCGTTTTATAATGAAACTTTAACAATTTAATCAATCTTTTAAAATGTACTCAAATGAACATATAACAGTCTACAACAAAGCCTTGCATTTTTATTTGTTTCTTTGTCAAATAAGATGCTGCACAACTGAACTGTATAAATTAAAACATGAATAAAAACAAATCCCGGTTAAAAATGTAATCATTATTACTTTGAGAGGTATGTTTTAGTCTGCAGTGGCCGTATGTCCAGAGCTGATGGTTATGCAGGTAGATGTAATGATGTGAGTGTGTGTGTGTGAATGTGTGTGTGTGTGTTAGAGTGTGAGTGACTGTGTGTGTTAGAGTGTGAGTGAGTGTGTGTGTGTGAGTGAGTGTATGTGTGTGTGTGTTAGAGTGTGAGTGAGTGTGTGTGTGTGAGTGAGTGTATGTGTGTGTGTGTTAGAGTGTGAGTGAGTGTGTGTGTGTGAGTGAGTGTATGTGTGTGTGTGTTAGAGTGTGAGTGAGTGTGTGTGTGTGTGTGAGTGTGTGTGTGTGTGTTTGTGTGTTAGTGTGTGTGTTAGAGTGTGAGTGAGTGAGTGTGTGAGTGAGTGTGTGTGTGTGTTAGTGTGTGTTAGTGTGTGTGTTAAGAGTGTGAGTGAGTGTGTGTGTGTTAGAGTGTGAGTGAGAGTGTGTGTGTTAGAGTGTGAGTGAGAGTGTGTGTGTTAGAGTGTGAGTGAGAGTGTGTGTGTTAGAGTGTGAGTGAGAGTGTGTGTGTTAGAGTGTGAGTGAGAGTGTGTGTGTTAGAGTGTGAGTGAGAGTGTGTGTGTTAGAGTGTGAGTGAGAGTGTGTGTGTTAGAGTGTGAGTGAGAGTGTGTGTGTTAGAGTGTGAGTGAGAGTGTGTGTGTTAGAGTGTGAGTGAGAGTGTGTGTGTTAGAGTGTGAGTGAGAGTGTGTGTGTTAGAGTGTGAGTGAGAGTGTGTGTGTTAGAGTGTGAGTGAGAGTGTGTGTGTTAGAGTGTGAGTGAGTGTGTGTGTGTGTTAGTGTGTGTGTGTGTGTGTGCACTGACTCCTGTCCTCTCTGTCCTCTCTCAGCTGTGTTCTCCTCACCACTGACGTCGCTGCTCGAGGCCTGGACATCCCTAACGTTCAGCATGTCATACACTATCAGGTAAGAGACTCCGCTTCGGTCAGTCGCTCTGAGTTCAGGAGCGTCTCAGCAGCTCTGTGTCTGTGTTGGGTTCAGGTTCCTCGCACGTCTGAGACGTACGTCCACCGCAGCGGCCGAACCGCCCGCGCCGCCAGAGAGGGCCTGAGTCTGCTGCTGATCGGGCCTGACGACCTGATGAACTACAAGAAGATCTGCAGAACCCTGCAGAAGAGCGAGGAGCTGCCTGTGTTTCCCGTGCAGAGCCACTGCATGAGCGCCATCAAGGTACAACAGCCGCTCGAATCATGCGTCCACACCACAGTTGTAGCGACTTGCAGACGGTTATTTCATCTGATGAACAACAAAACACTGACAGCCAATCAGAATCCTGCTCTGAAGAGCTCCGGCATTTAAAGTTGCAGCACGATTATAATAAACAGAACCATATTGTCGCTGATATAGTTATCATTGTAGTTGTTTTTATAGCTATTGTTCTTGTTGTGAACAAACTGTATGACATGAACCCCACTGTGGATGAAAGTTGCATCTGTATTTCAGTATTCACTGGGATCAGATCATATATATATATATATATATATATATACAGATATTCCAGAATCACACACACGATATGCTCCTCAGTATCTCCAGACTCGTGTTTTATTATATTGTGCTGGTTAGGTTCTCTTAGGGAATCATATGATACCGCAAAGTTAAAAACCTGATATATGTTTTTAAATTGCTCTTTAATAGTATTTTAACTTGTTCCTAGCCATGAAGATAGCAGAGGAAGATGGCATGGCGTTAAAACACCTGCCGAGATATAAGTCTGGATATGAACATGCTTTCACACACGTCTGTCATCAGCCACTGCGTTTCTACTGGAATAGAGAAACTGAAGTTGGCTTAACGTCTATAATATTTACATTCCCACTTGCCTCAACAACAAATGAAAAAAAAATCCACTAAAGCATTTATATAACTTGGCAAAAGAGGAAAGCATGGATTGATGAGAGCGGTCAGAAGAGAGGACCGCTCCCTCAGCTGGTGTGTTAGACAGCAGCGCTAACTACTTCATTTGTTATTAATGGCAGGGTGAAAAAACAGCGTTACACAGCTACATTTAACTTAAAGAAAATATGAAACACTTCTCTAGGTTGCTGTTATCAATTGTTGTGAAACGGGTCTCTTTTTATGAAATATTGCAGTGCTTATGATTTATCAGTGAACAATATTTAAAAAAAAATCATGTGTCCTCCTTATCATCTTTAAGCTGTTTCTTCAAATATGTGACTGGAGCACAAAACCAGTCATAAGGGTCAATTTTTTGAAATTGAGATGTATGCATCATCTGAAAGCTGAATAAATCAGCGTTCCATTGATGTATGGTTTGTTAGGATAGGACAATATTTGGCCGAGATACAACTATTTGAAAATCTAGAATCTGAGGGTGCAAAAAAATCTAAATATTGAGAAAATCATCTTTAAAGTTGTTCAAATTAAGTTCTTAGCAATGCATATTACTAATCAAAAATTAAGTTTTGATATATTTACGGTAGGAAATGTACAAAATATCTTCATGGAACATGATCTTTACTTAATATCCTAATGATTTTTGGCGTAAAAGAAAAATGTATAATTGTGACCCATACAATGTATTATTGGCTATTTCTACAAATATACCCAGCGACTTAAGACTGCTTTTGTGCTGCAGGGTCACATATAAGACGCTCATAATCTCTGTGAATTGTCCGAGAGCTTTCTCAGTGCTGATGACTATAAGGATAGCCAGCAGTGCTGTGCTTCACAGGCTTGTTTCTCCTCGACAGGAGCGCGTGACTCTGGCCCGGAAGATCGAGAAGATTGAGTACTTTCACAGCCGAGAGAAGCAGCACAACTCGTGGGTGCGGCAGGCGTCCGAGGCGCTGGAGATCGACGTGGACGATGACCTGCTGCTGGGTACGAGCTCCGCTCCGCGTCACCGAGCCGTGTTTGGAGCGGGAGCTCTGCCTCATGTGCTCTGCTCTGTGTTTCAGGAGGCGGTGAGGACGAGGACGAGGAGCGAGAGCAGCAGAGGTTAATCAGGAGCCTGAAGAAGCAGCTCAAGCAGCTGATCGCGCAGCCAGTGTTCACACACCAGATGAAGACCAAGTACCCCACACAGATGGGCAAGCTGCAGCTGCCCCTGAGCACAGCCGACACTGCGCTGAGCAGCCTGAGCCACGACACAGTCCCGCGCTAGCACAGGGTCCGCTCCTGACACAGACCTGTGCTGCTGCTGCGTCTCAGGAGCAGGGTTAGGAAGCACACGTCTCTGCATGCAACAGTCACATCTCTAGTGGATTAAAATTCAACATTTAGTGCAAACACAAACCTGGTTATTTATAATGAACTATAAAAATTTTCTGTCGCATAAAGTGAAAAAACTTTAATTGGAATCCACAATTTATGTGCATTTATTTTCCCAAATTTTTCTACATTTTAATGACTTGTTTAGTGTTAAATCTACCAGTTTTTCCACGTGTGCATTTCACCCAAAGCTTTTACTCTCATGTCGTTTGATTTTCTTCTGGTGATGGTCAAAGGCTGAAGTTAACTTGAAAAACTTGTAAAAATGAGCTTCAGATTGAACTGAAACGTCACACTGTGTTTATGAAATAATTTTTTTAATGATTTCACAGAATTACTGTTAAACCAGTTATTTTCAAGTTGAAGAATAAAAACATTTGAACAGAAGTGTTTGATCATGTCTTTAATGCATGTCTTGAGTTTAATCTCTTATTGATCCAGACTCACGCTCCATAAACACGAGTGTGTGTGATGAGAAATGTTGCTGTAAGCAGATGTGCTGAGCTGAATGTGTGTCCTGAGCCCGCTCTCAGGGTCTGGCTGGTTTGAGACGGACTGATCTACAGCAGCGTCTGCGCTCCGCTTCTGCTGGACGAGCTCTTCTTCGGTGTCCTTCTCTTCACAGTCGCTCCGCTGCTGGCCATGAGTCTCATGGCTCTCCTCTCCATATCAGCTTTCTCCACGATGAATTCCTTTGAAAGCAGGAGAAGAAAGAGAAACGCGCTCTTGACTGAGTTTCTGATCATGTGCTGTATAACTCTGATCAGTCACCTTTATCATGTCCATCATGGTGGCTGTGTCCATGAGGTCTAGATCTCTGTAGTGACTCAGGTAACACTGCTCCGCGAGGCTCTTCACCGCCATCAAGATGTTCCCGACCTCCTCCACCTACCACACACCAATCACAGCATCACACACACGAGCCTCCGGATTTACATCACAACGACAAGCAGGAAGGAAGACTAAACCATCCCTGCTTAAACGCCTTGAGGCGTGAAAACTCGTGTGTTTAGATGGGACAGCGGTTCAACTGGACGAGAAGTGAGTGAAGAGCATGTGATTCAGACTCTAATGACAACATGCTGTTAAGACTTCAAAACCTGTAACTGTATATGCGTCGCACTGATCTAGTGTTTAGTGCACTGATGTTTCCAGCACACCTGGTCTCTGGACTGGCTCAGGTGCATGTGGAGCATCATCTCCAGCTGTTTGTTCTTCTCTCTCAGTTGATCCAGCTGTGTCTGCCGCTCGGACAGCTCCTGGTTTGTCATCTGCCACAGAAACACATCACACATCAGTTACGACTGTGATACACGGGAAACTGTTTGAGAAGCTGCTTCTGGGCAACCAGGTGAGACGCAGGGCCTCGGCCGATCTAAAGTACCCAGACACATCTGTTGCCCATTCTCAGTGGGAAAGAGCCCAAGCAACAAACGTCAGTCTGAATGTCTCAAGCTCTTCTGAAGCTGAATGAATCACGTACCAGTTTGAAGGTGCTGTGCTCCTGTCTGCGGGACTCCAGGCTGTTCTGGCCGGCCTTCATCTGCTCCGTCAGGCTGGATAACTGCTGCAGGAGGTCCTGTCGGCTGATGGTGAGCGTCTCGTAGCGTCTGATGATCGGCGTCACCAGGTCTGTGCTGTAGCCCACATACTCTACAACACAGAGCAGACTGATGCTGCGACACAGTGCACATACTAGCCGTCCTAAATACTCCAAATTAGACTTACTGTGTCCCAAATCATAGTATGTTGACATGAGTATGCCACAGGCACCCGGATGGTTTACTCTTTCCGGCAGAAATTTAAAGTGCAGCAGATCTGTGCACACTAATGGCTAATATTGCCCACAACACCGCGCGGTGGACGAGGATTCGATTAGCAAATCACAGATAAAAAGTGTTAAAAAACTACAAACACGGCAGATATGCGAGACAGACGACGGGTACAGAAAGGGGTTTCAGTGATAATATCTAACCTGATGAAAAATATGTATTTAATGTTATCTGCGTTATATTTGGTCTGTAACAACACTTAACTTTTATAAAGATATGTTTGGTCGTTAACTTTTAAAAGCATCATTATGCAAACACATGAGTTCTCAGCATCATAGACACGTGCCTCTTCATTCCTCTCCAGTACGGCAGGACATTAAACTAAAGGAAACGAGGAGGATGTTAACCGTGACGAGATGATTGACAGGCCAGTTTAAACGGTCACAGGATGCTCGTAACTAAGCAACAGAGTTATGATTAAGAAGAACGTCCCAAAGCTTGCCTGCTATTCTGCTACACACTTAAGTATGTACGTTTCTTCACCAAAAGAGTACATGCTTTTAGGGCATAATATATGTAGGTGAATTGGGACAGAGCTTAAGACTGCAGAGAAAAGCCCTGAAGAGTCTTTGTGTTCAGATGCTCTTACTGTCTGGAAGTAAATCAAGAGTCTTCATCAGAAACTCCTCGAATTTCTTGTATTTGTTCACTCGCTCTTGTAAATACAAGCGCCTGTTGAACAGAGAAAGCAGATCGTGAGTAACACACATCTGCACTATAACACTTCGGAAAGGGAATAGCTTTGGTTTCAGGTGTTTTTGTGGTATTTGGTGAAGTTTATTGTGTACTCGTAACAGCAGTAATCAGTAAACGGGTGGACTCTCACCGGTCTGAGGCTGGTTACCTGGCTTGTAAGTCCTGGAGTTGTTTGGAGAGTTCAGCTTTCTCCTCTTCCTTCACGTCATTCTGCTGTCTCTCCATCTGGAATCTCTTCAGCGCACGGCGGCGTTTCACCTCGTTCTCCTCCACAAACCTCTCGAAGTCTGCTGCCCTGTGTTTCGTCTGTGTGAGGAGCACTGAAGTCTGTCAGACTTCTCATAATGCTCTCATAACACATTATAGAAGAGTGAGAGATCATTTAGTGGAGGGATTGCCAAATGTTTGCTGAACCCCATTGTACTAAATATACACAGGGGACGTACAAAATAATGTGAAGAGCCATTATAATGGGTTAATATTTCTGTAGGCTACAGCGAAAAATAGTAATTGCAGTGATGTTTTATTAATCCTAACACACCTGGGTCAGCTACTCCTCACCTCCTGGTGTGTGTGTGTGTGCTTCTCACCTCTGTGTGTCTCTGCTGGAGTCGTGTGTGTGTGTGTG